CTATAACGCTCTAAGCCTAATATAATTTTAAAAATCTATATACCTACTGGTCGGGCTAATTGCATCGTTCGAAATTACAACATTACGTGGGAACTAATTTGTTTTGAATGTTAGGTCAAGTTGTTTGAAATGACAGGTCGGTAAGTGACGTTTTTTTATGTAATTAATTAATTAAAACATAAACTTGGCTCCATGTTGGAGCGACAATGATACGACTAGGTTTATCTCATAAGTATAGAAAAATAAATAATAAACACATGATTTATTGACAGTGATGGATTAATGGGTTGTACACGAGACCCGCAAATATTCTTTTAACGACGATCGTTAAAATTTTTCTATTAATTTTTGATTTGTTGTTTACAAATTGAATGTATGACAGAACCAGATGTGACGGTGTGGCCTAGCGGTAGAGTCTTGAGTTTAAACCCGGGTTCAAATCAGTGGACCGTCCCATAATACTGGGTAACTAACGTATGAACAAAGGTGGCTGGGCATAGTGCTACGACCAACTATCTTTTCACATGCTGAGGTCTCTAATGCGGATGAACATAGGCACGACCGGGGCGTAATTAATTTTGTAATTTAGTATTACATTAGCAAACACTCCAGAACATCGCATCTTGACAAAGACGAAATGAAAAACATAGGAACATTCTAATTACTTATTCATGTGTCTGTATTTTTAAAGTGTATAACACTTAAAGGCTCAATTACAGTACTTAATTTCAAAATAATATGCGCATTTTGAAAGAGCATATTCAATGTAATACACTATTTAAGATCTTGTTAGCGAGCTGGATATAATTTAAATTCAGTAGAATGAGAAAATAACCGACCAGTTATGTTACGACCAGTTATGTTAAGTTTGTGTGACGGCAAGCCTTTTATTCACAAATCTAGAAGAACGTAGTCATTAATAAACTAAACACAAAGAAAAAAGCAAGATATAAATTTAGTACTGAATAAATAAATAGCGACTGGGTTGAATTTCCATTCGTTTATGTTTGTAAGGATTATAAGAAGAAAAGAAAATACGTCAGTAAAAGAATGTAATTTACCGATGATTTTCTCTATCTTTCTCTCTCTCTCCCCCTCTCTCTTTCACTTTTCCTCTCTCTCTCTCTCTCTCTCTTTTTTTTTTATAGTACAAGAGTTAAGCTTAATGGAGAAATAAAACGACACGTGAGTGTTATTATAATGACACGAATAATTTCAAACATAAAACAGTTGGAAGAAGAAACATTTTTAAAAAATCTTATTTAGATTTTGACCGAATTATATTTTTATTTTTTTAATAATTAATTATATTGGCGAAAGAATAAAACTGCATTAACATAGTTATATCTTTATATCAGGTGTGATAAGTGTGGTATATAAATGGCTGAGACGTGTGACCTTGTTTTCTAAAACTGAGTTATTAAAATGTACACAATACCGGCGTTATATTTTTTATCACATATGTCAGGGCACGTGTTAGCACACGATCGAATAGCACACACCAGGACGTGTTGTATTAAAAGTCTTGTGTACGTTAATCACTCTGTGTAATAGTGAGGTAAAATACACTTTGGCGACTGGCGTGATTTCCACGGTTACAATATCGCAAAGTTGTCACGTACTGTATGTGATGGGGGATTTGTATGAGTTTCTCTATGAATCTGTATGAAGACTACTCCTATAACTAATACTCCAACAATAAACTTGTGATTAGGACTGGAACACTCTTATTTTCCGACGACACTAATTAACGATATCAACAACTTCGATCATGAAATATAATTAACTTTATTATCAAACACTAATACTATACAATATCAATTCACGTCATTTTCCTATAATGACTAACCCCCAACTGTCTTCACTGTTGCATCCTACGTCATCGGTAACATTGTCGCGTCACGCTCACGTCACACTCACGCCACACCAGGATAATTCCCATTACCTCTACATCGGTGTTGCACTCACTGACACTGTTACAAAAAGCCAGTCCTATTTTGTTTTGTGTAGTCTTCAAATCGTGTCTAACGTCTTTTTCTCTTTCTGATAGAGCTGTGTCTATTGTCTGTATCTTGATAGATATTGTCTTAAATCCCCTAGCAAGTCTGTAAATCTTCGCAGTCTTACTTGAACCTCAAACTTAATTCGTGAGCGGCAGAGAAAAACTTGTTAAAGTTTTGTTTAAAATTTCAGTTGTCATCTTTAAAATGCATTGTTTTGTCTCAAAGAATCAAAACGCTATAGGCTCTTGATACCGTCAACAATAACTTGCTCCTTTTAGGCTTCCCAGCTTGGCACTATTGTATCAATAGTCACTTGAAGACTCTTTCTGTAAGGTTTAAACGACACGATTTGACGCGTTCATTGGTGCTGATACCATAGCATCTCTTTTGGTATTGTTTTTATTCATGTTTGCTATAATGTTTAAAGCACAAATTATGGCTCTAAATTATATTAAGAAGAAAGACCACCATCAGATTCTATTCCATGTAAAATATTTTCATTGTTACTTCATTTTCAACATGAAAATTTTTCCATGCGGTGTTTACACCAACAAAATAACCAAAAATAAACAAAACTATACGGAAATTAAGAAGATATCATATAATATAACCAGTGTTATTCAATATATTATGAATGTCCCTATAATATAATAAAGGTTAATATCTTCCATTCTTGAGAATAGAAAGATTTAACACGTTTTAAAATGCACTGGTTTATTGTATTTTACCTCTACAACTTACCTGCACTTAATGTATTAACATTGTTTTATTACTAATCGGGAAACAATGTCTGATGTGCTTATTAGACGCTAACTGACCTACAAAGTGTCAACACACGTTTCTGACTTTAGCAATTATTGGTTACGACTGTTCGTCTCATTGCTGATTAGGTCGTTCTGACTGGCCAATGGCTTATATAAACTACGACCTAGTTAAACTACTTCTACCATTGTATCACAACAGTGAAGATAATTCTGATAATGTCTGTATTTCAAGTAAGGTATAATCGAGGAGAAGAAAATATATATACAGTAGATTATCCTGGGTTAGATATGTTCGTCTACTGTTAAATAGTTTGCAAAAAATAAAAAGATTTTCAATTATTTTGTACAAACCCATAGACCAGCTTCCCTTTTATTTAGTGTATTGGTTGTGTTACAACAGTCAGTGTTCTAAAAAAAGAAATTAATTCTAAATAGAAGACTAAATATACAAGAAGCTCGAAAACATACGTAACTAAACGATCCATATGAGAATCATTTTTAAAAGTGTAATTTAGAATTACCTTATATTTCACTCTAAATTTGAATCTCTTCTATTTATAAGATCGGGGACAATTTTTTGCTAATTGATAAATTTATTCGAACGTGTCATTTGAGATAAACATGTAACAGCTGTTTCATTATCTTACACATTAATTTGTTTACGCTAAAGATCCAATTGATAAACAGAAAAATTGAGAAAATCGTTTTTCTAAAATAACAAATTGATTTATCTTGCTAATATAATATTTATAAAATAACATAATTATACCATTTTAGTGTAATGCATTGCTATTTTATGTAGGTTGTCGTTTGACCTACTTTTTTTTCATCGTCATGGCAATAATGGCTGCCGAAAACGACGATACCGTGATTCCGTATTTTTAAGAATGTTTGATGGTCATTTCAGAAATATATACTAACAATCTTTATTTCTGCATTTTATTCAACGATACCGATCTAATGTTAACAATAAACGATTAGAAGTTTGATGCTAGCTTGCCATTTGTACATTTTCTTTTGTCTAATCGCTGAGAATAGCGAGCAGAACGTAATAAAGGTAAGTAAAACGGGAGTTGCTTTATTTAACATTTTTGTAAACTTACTCAAACTATTGTAAACTATAGAAAATTATATATTGCGTGCTACTAAAATGATTTCATTAATTTGTTAAAATACATGCAGGACAAAACATTCAAAAAAAAACGTGATCGAGACAACAGCTAACTAAGCCTACCCACCTTGCCCGTGTATTTGAATGGGAAGAAATCTAGTTGAACGGTGGTGAACGGTAACTCGCGTCACAACAATACTCCTTAAACAAGCTTTTATGTAATAATGCACTAAAAATTAGAAAATATACACTACCATTTAAATAACTATAAAAAAAAATGTGGGTCTCTTCCTAATATTAGACACTACTATTTAAATTACTATAAAGAAAAGCGTGGGTCACTTTAGTATCTATTGGATACCTTTACTAATATTTAGGAATAGACCCACGCTTTTCTTTATAATAATTTAAATAGTAGTGTCTAACATTTAGGAAGTAGGAAGAGACCAACGCTTTTCTTTATAGTTTTTTAAATAGTAGTGTATAATTTTTTTTTTTTTACTTTTTAGTGCATTATTACATAAACACTTGTTATTAAAACGTTTTTTAATGAATTTTTTTTCAGTACTTTACATGTTTTATTTACAATAGTTACATGACTAAAAACCTTTGTCAAGTTTATAGCATAAGTTTCAGTAAAATATTATGGGATGGCGTAGTCTAGTGGTAAAGAACTAGACTGCTGACCCGATTAAAAACCATCGCGCGCATAAAGAACGTGATGTCGCGCTTTTGACGAAGAGCCCCCTTCGCTCCATGTCCCACACGGCCGTGATGACGCGTGTAGATAGAACTGCCTAATAATTCAGTCCAAATTTTAATTAATTCATAAAAAAATAATTAGGCTTCCTATAAAGTCAAATTTAATGTCATAACGCATTGTCTTCATATCTTGATCCACGTACAAATTAAGAACCGTATCTGTCAATTAGAAGTGTCCAAATCTTCGCTCCGGCGTTTCGATCTAGACAAATAGGAAGTGAGTGTTATAAAAGCTAGTAAAAACGAACCCACCGTATCACTGAATTTCAGTCATATTATACCATTTAAAAACAAACGCCGTTAATTACAAATCATTTTCTAAGCTACCGATTAAATTTGATAAATAAAATTGGTATCAAATTAAAGGTAAGTGTAGTTTTTATTTGTTTATGTCATCTTTAACTATAAAGTTTAAAATCTTAGTCGTCACCTTAGTTTTATGTAGTAATCTTTTAAAAGAACGATAATCATAGAATTCTATTATTTTAAAACATTTTCAATGTTTCTTTCCATGGATCATAAACTTACAATTCAGGTTCAACATATGAAATAAAAAACATGTATACACAAGTATATATTTATCATTTCAGCTTGTTATTACTTTGATCAATATTAAATGCATTCAATAGCTTGAAAATGTACTGTAACTAACAGTTAAATCAGTCCCACATCTCCCCACAATAATTTCCTTCAGAGTTTGATCCACTGTGGGGATGGTGGTACGGCCACCCGACATGTCCCAGCCTGTAGATAGACGCTCCACTGGAACCTGGACATGTACATGTTGTGTACCAGTACCTGGTCAAAGTTTCATCATCATCATCGTCATCATCTCTCTCATGTTTGTGTGTCCATTGTCCTACAGAGACCTGTTTAGGACAGCCATGAGGATGTGACACTATAACGGTCAACTTTACCACATCATGAAATCTCCTGTATTTGTCCTCTACTTCCCCACATAAGTCATCAAAGTGCTGGCACATCTTGTCCAGTTCATCAACCAACTCTAAGTCACATGTCGAATATGTCAACCTACACCAGTCTCCCTCAATGTTTGCCTTACGCCACACCTCCCATCCATCAAGACTGACCACTGGACTTTTATTGTCAACAAAACCTAAAACACACCTGGTCTGTCTCGCCTCACTGTCATCAAACACCACGTGTGTGGCTGTCAACACATGAACCTGCCCCCACACCTTGCTGGGTGTGGCAGAGTCTTGACACTTGGCACAATGACAAGTACCCTCACTCTCTGTGTACTTGTACACACACCACACCCTTCCAGTCCCTAACCTCATCACGTGACTTCCTCTGTCATTATAACATGGATATGGAACTTGAGTGCCTGGGTAAAACTCTGGTCTCTCTAGACTAGTGAATTTAGTCTTTACCTGGACAGTTAGGGCTGCCAATGTTTTGATTGTCTCAGACATGAGGTCGTCGTCATGGAAACGTGAGGGGAGATATTTTATGTTGAAATCTTTAAGAGGTATAAAACCTTTGTGACCTGGATTCTTTTTACAGTTATTAACATGTTTGTGTAGATCAGCTTCTCCTCCATAGCACATCTCAGCTTAATGATTGCCTACAGGAATAGGGGAACAGAATATTTAAACAGTCTAAAATAGCTAAACAAGGATTTTCATATACCGTTTAAAATGATACAATTTCCTTCATTTAATCAACTATGAATTTACTATAATAACGTCATCTATATGTTTTCACTAGCACATATTTATAGTAGCTTAAACCTGTTGCTTTATGTGTGTCATTTTTCTCACCTGAATTAAAGACATCTGTTTGGTCACTTTTGATAACTTTACTTAGACTCTCACAGTATGGCATATCTAAAATAAAAGAAAAAGAAAACACATACATTAACTTATAATTATAGTGACAAAAGTGTGTCATTACTGAGATAAACTCTCATGGCTTGACTAATACACTCTCAAAGCTCAAAGTCCCATAAAAAAGAAAGTACATTTTTGTAGAATTCATTAGGAATTTAAAATTAACTTTTACACCTATTGATACACATTTATGTTATTAAGGAATGGATCTTTAAAGTATTTGAATTTAAAATACCATAATAGATTTTAAATGAGCTAAACATTTGGTCAATGAATAATTTATTTGGCTCTACCTTCAGGCGTACCTGTTGGCTCCAATTTTCTTTTTCTCACTTTGTTTGGGGTTTTCATGGTTTGTGTAACTGTAGATATGAATATACATTATTAATATAAAATAGAAACTAGGGCTTAATAATTGCACTAACGAAGAATTTAAACAAATAAACATTTGTAGGGTTATTTTTACATCTGTACATAAAAATTTCTCAAGTTTATGAAACAAATAGTAACTTAAAATATATTATTATTTCATGTCACTAAATAGTGAAAAGGCTACATAAAATGCCTATCAGAAAAATAATAAACTATGTGAATAAACAAAGCACCTATGTATCTAGTTAATTATCGTAAAATTTGGGGAGGGGTGAGGAGTGAAGGGAGGTTGTGGTGGTAAAATCTTGAAAATGTTCTATATCTAGGTTGATATATTTTTAGCCATATTTTGTCTTGTTATGTACCAAACTAAGATTGCAGTATAAAAATGATCGAGGTATGTTTGCTCTCATTATTTACCAACCTAAGATTGCAGTAGAAAAAGACCGAGGTATGTTTGTTCTGGTCCAAAATCAACAAGTCCTTGACCTGACACACACACTTCAATGAGGTCGCCGGTTTGTAGATAGAATACCCCACCTGTAATGGTTACAATCAAATCATGGTGCCCCTATCAGAAGAGTTTTAGACCATTGCATGATTATAGGTTTTCTTCTAATGATTGCAAGAAATATTTACGGAAAACATGTTTTTTTTTCAATAGACACTATATAGTATTTAGTTTTACCCGTGAAACCGAAAACGTCATTTAGTTCCCACAATTTTTACTACATGTAGCCAGCAAATACATCGCATTAACTTACTTGGTTTTTAAGAAAATAATGACTTAAAACATCTTACTTTTTAAACCCTAAAAATATTTATTGAAGTTTAATATTAATCTTGTTAGCATTTAATACTAATTACTTATATATTCTTTTTAGTAGTTAACACTAACTCGCCCACCTGTATAAGCAGTTTCTTGGCTGTTAGTACAGTTGTCACAAGTAGTGTGGACGGTCCTCAACAAGACACCAGATAAAACTGGGTTGTTGGCTGAGTGTCTGCGGACGTACTGAAACCACTTCTGGGAAAAATATAACATTTAAACAATATTTTGTAAATAAATTTATTCATTAATACCGTTTTGATTTTCAAAACCTTTTTTGTAAGGTACCTCAGTAAACGACGTTTTGGATTAGAGTTACCATGTCGCTATGTGATGAGAATGAGGCTATAACTAATAAATAATTATACACTACAAATATATCTCAGTCTTCTTCTTTCTTCTTTGATCGTTATTTTTAGTTTTGGAAGGGATCAAGCCTTATCTTCCAGAGGGTTCGAAATCTAGACATGTTTTTCGAATTTTAACAACCTTTTGCTATGACGACAAGACAACGCCTTCAACACAATTAAGTATAAGTGTCGCCTGGTTATGCGCCATAATATCACATCAATTTAAATAACTAAAAAATTCTTTGATTTATGTAAGTAATTTTACCTGGTATGTGAAATATGTTGAAGACTGGGTTGTGTTAGGTTTAAAGTTTACGTTGCTGTATATAAAGTAAAAACCTAAATGGAACAATACAGCTGCATGAATATGTTTTGTAACATTGAAAATGTAATAAATCTAATTAACTACGTTTGCATTACTTATAATAATAATAAGGATAAAACGTGTCTTACTCTAATCTAAAACACAGAACTTATCAGAACAGTTTAGTTATCAACCAACCAGAAAATAATATTTTAATTCCTTCTTGTGTTATATCCACACCACTGTTGTGTTGAGTGAATCCCAATGTACTCTGGTCTATATATAGAACTGAATGCTGAGTCGGACTGAATATTGGATCTTAGGAGTAGAAATTCAAAGGATTGCACACGTATTATATTTTTAAAAAAATATTTTAACTTGATATTAAAGCGTGGTTTTAATATAATAATATTTATAAAGTGTTTGTTTTGTAATATAAATCATCGTAGGAATAGTTTATCAAAGTGCTAAGAATTGTGTTGTAATTTAGTATATCACTTGTTGGAGAATTATTGTTATGTAATCTACATAAACGATTGCGCGATAAAGAGGTAAAAAGAAATACCAATTGAATTCTCAGCTCCAGAAAACCTGGTTGACGGGCAAAGATAAACGTGAGCTTGCACTTTATCTGACTGGTTGATCTAAAAGTATGAATAATCAATTCTAAAATAGGTGTTATATATGTAACACATATCATAGTTACTAGTCAAGGGGGATAAATTGTAAGTTATAATTTATGGGTTGTGGCTCGTGTGGGACCGCAACTGTTGATGTGTTTTTTTTTTCATTGTTCTTCGGTGAGCGGTTTTTACTCGTGTCCCATGTCATGTGACCTCTGGGACTAAAGCTAGTTCGTACCTGTGGCTCTGTCATTCAGACCCCAGGCTGATGTTGACATGGACGGTGCTGTTGCCTATGATAAGTTGATATGTAGACCCAATGAAAGTAATGTAGTAATGTAAATTATGCCAACGCGGCGATGTTTTTTTCTATGATATTAGTTAGTTAGAGGTTGCGGTGGCTGAGGAACTTTGTCTAGAGAATTCAAAAATAATTTGAAATTTTGACTTTGCAAATACCATTGCAGCAGTGTTGCAGACATTCATGAAAACATCGTGACTCAAATAGAAAAAGTTTCGCCATTTTTCAATTGCAGTGGATGAGACACTGGATAGCTGTTCCATCTCAACTCTTTCTGTTCATTAGAGGTATGGATGAAGACATAAACATAGCACAAGAGCTGGCTTCCCTACATAGAATGTATGGCACTGTTACCGGAGAGGATATCTAAACATAGATAGTTCAGAGACATGTTGAAAGATACAAACACATAATCACATGATTTAACCCAGAGGCGTAGCGACCCTTCCCGGCGCCCGGGGACATACTTTCAATTTGGCGCCCCCTTGGGAGCAAATTTTCGATTTGCACCCCCCCCCGAACTTTTCATTTGCACCCCCCCCCCCCTTAAACTTTCGATTTGCACCCCCCCCTCGAACTTTTCATTTGCACCCCCCTCAAACTTTCAATTTGGCGCCCCCCCCTAAGGTCGGCGCCCGGGGACATATGCCCCCCCCCCGCCCCCCCCCTCGCTACGCTACTGATTTAACCTATTTCACAGCAATAAGATGGCTAACTTGCGAGAAAGATCTGAGCAGAGTATTTAAGTTAATTACAGGTTAAACCCCCAAATTGAAATTTATGTGTTAGAACTTTTTTTGAGTGATAAGGAAGTTGTAACTAACATAGTATATAAAAAAATGCAAAAAAAAAATCACTAAAAAAGTTGTAGTTTTGTGAAAATATTTTCTAAAAAGTGTCATTTTTAGGGTAAAAGTAAAATAGCTCAAAATATGCTCTCATTGGGTCGCATCCGGCCCGCGGGCCATAGTTTTGAGACCCCTGCTCTATACGATCTGCTGATTCAATAGTTCAAAATTTAGTGACATATAGAATTACTGATAAAGTTAATTGATGATACATTTTGAAAATTTTAAAAACCTTTAAAGGTAATTATCATATATAATCTATTTTTTTACCACTAACACGTATACACACGCACGCAAATGACATCTTAGCTTTTGATGCTGCAAAAAAGTATGTTTAGCACTGCTGATTCATTTGTTCTCTCAAAAATGATGTCCATTTTACATTTTATGACTGTTTGGTACTATACATTTTGCCTGGGCAGTTCTTGTCATTCTATTTATTGACTAGCCATTTTTTATGCATATGACAAGGATATATCATTGCAGATATTTTATTTTTTCTCTATAAACGACAAAGATTATATACAAAGCCTCCGCATTCTGTAAAATGCAAAGTTAACATAATTGCTTGCTACACAAAAACACACACACACAAACACACACACAAACACACACATATATATATATATATATATATATATATATATATATTTATATATATATATATATATATATATACATATATATATGTATATATATATGTATATATATATGTATATATGTATATATATATATATATATATATATATATATATATATATATATATATATATATATATATATATATATATATATATATATATATATATATATATATGTATATATATATATATATATGTATGTATGTATATACCTACCTCAAAATTAAGATTTCTTTCATTCGTGGTAGGTTTGTTTAACACGTTCAGTGTAACATTTGCGGGAAGTTTGAATTCCAACTGCATAATAGTATTAGATATAATTATAAAGTATTCCGACAAAGCAACAGAACAAATTAATTTGTAAGTAACGCCCCAGCACTTTACTCACACCATTTCTCAGTATTGGTATACAAACACTCAAGATTAGGCCTTTACGAAATTATAATTAAAAACTTACCATGCATGAAAAGGTACGAAAACTTACTTTAAAACGTGTAATTGTTTGAACTGTGTAAATCAAAACAGCCACGGATAATATTATTGTGCTAAGCGAGATACTGAAACAATAGAAAATAATGTTTAATGATTATATAATTATAATGATATTTAGTTAAGTATAGATTATATTAAGACTGTTTACTTCGTCCACGCTTGCATATCACACTTAAATTATGGTTCTTGTTTTAATTTGAAAATATTTCTGACTCGAACTTTTAATTCAGATTATTTAAATTGAAAATGTTGTAAATATTTGCTAATATAATTAATTTCAGCATGTTGTGAAAAGAAGTGTTCATCTGTTAATACTTACACATAATAAAATAGCATGATTTGTCATGATGATTTGGGGTGTATCACCATTTTTTCTCCATTTTAACCTGTTTATAAAATAAATTTCGTTTAATAAATCGTTGACTACTTTACCTTAAACAATGTTTGCCTTAATTTTTACTTGTCGAATAATTTGAGTGCATAACTACAAGCATACGAAAATGCCTTGCATAAGTTTATAACAGCACTACAAGCAAGTGAAAATTATAATTAAATGCACATTATACTTTTAAAACACGCCTAGGCTGATAATAATCTGTTGCGAAAGCTGACTAATCTGACACCCTCTTCCAATGCGTCAAATAAAATATTTGAAAGGATTATGATTGACGCATTGATGTTGAAAAGGATGTTAGAGAACAAGCAGCCTAGCATGGGGCCTAACATTGTTCTAAACCTGACTTTAAGAGAACCACTTGGCCTGATCTTTTCCTGGATTCGTAAAATGGTAACTCTTAGCTACCCGCAATTTTACACTTGACTATAAAGGATATACAGAGTGCATTAATGACAAATTTTTATCCTCGTTAACACTTACGGTTTTGTCAATTTTTTTTTCATTGAACTTAATTCAAAACAATTAGTTACATTTCTTTAACATAACACACTTTATATTTTTTATTAAAAACAAAGTACAAACATTTACCCTTAGCTTAAAGCAAGCAGACCCTGAGCTTTACAATGTATGTAAAATACTGCATACTGCAAGCTCTTAGAATTATTTTCATAAAAGCAGGGCATTAACTCATATCAAGTATTATCGCGGGTCATTTCCGTCTCCATACAATGCCCCTAAGTCAAATACCCTCGTGTATTGCCTGAAGATTGCCCCATTTCTAAAAACCTGGATGTGGACCATAGCTCATAACTTCTAACCTTTTATCATATTTTATCATACAGGCTCTAACTGACAACGATCTTCCTAATATAGAAATAGACTGCTAATGGTAATGAACAAGTGACTCATATCGTCCACATTTGAAGATGAAATAATACTTTATGACTACATAGATATTATGTAAACAGTGTCTGCTTCCAAATACTTGTATTGTTTTCTTTGTCCAATCATTGGTCGATTGCTGTTTATATTGTAATATTGATAGCTAGGAACCTAGATGTTTATTGCAATTATGATTTTAATTTAGTTTTTATGAAATAAACAGAGAGTGGCGTAATTGGTTGGGTTTGATAGATCAATAATTAGGTATTGACCCTTGAGAAGTTGACAGTTTGTTTTAGACATAATCTTTAAGGAAAAGCCTAAATAAATTAGCAATTCTAAGTTGATGTAAGTAATAAAGTTAGGATGGTTTTAAGTGTTTACTCTTTTTCTCGAATATCAACTGTTTATTGTTGTATCTGCCTCTACACAACAAGTTAGGGTACATGCAATTTACAATGCCGATTCCATCACACAAGAAGAGATTTATTCGTGGTAAGCAATGGTAACAAAAACAACGGTACAGCTCAAAAGCTGGAATATAACTTAAAAAGACACAACTGTATTGATGAATGTACATATTCATTTGGAACCAATTTTTTTTCCATGGAGTGATGAGGCATCATGGTCAGCTATGTATCAGCTGCTGAGTTATCTCCAGCTAAATGGTTCACCATAGGTCACATGTCTTTTGGAAACTCTTGCAGCCTAGAAGCTTCGATCAATATTTTGGAAGCATACAGCAGCTTATTATTATCTCTCATATCTTCTGATTCAGTGTAGTGAAGATGTAAGACCAGCTCATTTCATCAATTGTGTTAACATCTGTTGGTAACTCCTCCAGGAGACGATGATTTTCTTTTCTATATAGATAATTTTAAGATTACAGGGCATCTAGAAAACAAAAATATAAGTATATATAATGATATTTAAACAATATGTTAACCTAAATCTAAATATATAAATATAATTTTATTGTACATTTCGATAATTTATAATCAAACTAATATAATTTTCGTCAATCCACATCTAAAATCGGTAGTTTCTAATAAATCCTAAACAAAATATGTACTGTGTGTCATGACAGTACTCCTAAGTATTCGTGTACACATTGTTATAATACAAGAACAATTTTCATTCAAATGTTAAAAATAAAAATAAAACACACTTACCTGACTACTGAAGATGCCAATAAAAATATTTGTGCATGATGAAAACTTAAGCATTGAAATAAATTAAAGAAAATTTATGAAAACGTGTGCGAGATCTGTACAGAACGATTGTGAACTATCGATACACGATGAAATTCAAAAAAACATCGAGCAGCATTGTGCCAGCGCTGCTCCCCTAAATCACCTGCCCTAATCCATTGCCTGGGTTCATGGTTAACTGTTTTATGAGATAAAAGCAGATTCAAATAAAAAATTTAAAAAAATATTATTTTAAGGATTTTCTCTGCAAACTGTTACGATTAAAGTTCCCTTAAAATTAAAATACTGATGTGCTAAAATGTGATAATACAATTACAATTCAACAAATAAAATGATTAAATAAAATTTCACAATGAGAATTACCCTGTGTTGTTCTCTATGTCAATTGTGTTGTGAGCTCTCAGTGTTTTCAGACAGGTTTAATTTTATCCCAGACTATCTATAGTGATGTCAACAGTTTTAATTTTATCCCAGACTATCTATAGTGTTGTCAACAGGTTTATATAGTAGAAAATCTGTACCAAGTACGACCCGCGTGACTAGAAGGGGCACTCAAACTTCAGGTTGTGGGGTTGATTGTTTTAATGTTGCTAGTTTCAGTGTTTGACGACGGGTTAGTTAGAAGACGCGTTTACTGACAGATAACACACAAACGGTTGAGTAACTTGTATAGATCTGACAATATGCTATACATTTACATGACTTTGTCAAGTAAACAGAAGCCTTGGAATTTATCTTAGCTGTAATGAGTAACGTCTGAATGGGAACTTCACTACATTACATTTACACAGAAGAGATGTTTGGAATTGGCAAATGGGGTGATAATCCTCAGCGATGCTCCCAAAATAGTTAAGTGTACATTAACCAAAAAACACCTGAAAAATAAAAACAATAGCGTTCAGGTAACAATTACTAAGACATGTTTATGTTTTTCCTATATCTTTAAATCCGACATTCGACAATATAATGTATTTTATTTAGGTTAAATAGCAATCGACATAATATTATAATGCTTTGTAGAATAAACAAATGCTGTTGTTCTCACAAAGGAAGTAGCGATTACGAAATAGTTTGCAGTATCATGAAACTCATCCAGTGTGTAACTGGGTATTAAATTGTTAACTGCATCATACACATCGATATGATCCACCACTACTGAAATTCACACTTTTCTACCCTCCTCAGACCCTCCCCACCCCCAACGCAGATAGTCATTATCAGATTTCCACACCATAGCCATTTCTATAGAGTCGTCAAGAAATAGTTACGCTATTGATTAAATTAAGATTATGTTTTAAAATATTTAATTTACATGATATCCAAGTATGTATACAGTGGGTTCACAAAAAAAAATTAAAAGAAAAAAACGCATGCAAAAATTAAATAGCCTGCTTCTTGTGTAGAAATGGTATTCTATAAGTAATTTGCTATTAAAAATGAACTTGTGGTCTTGTTACTTTAGTGGTACTTTCAATTTTTTTTTTAAATGACTGTTACCAAAAATTAGAACCACTGAAACTTATAAAGCTAAAACATATTTTAGCATCAAAGTCGCCACTTAGTTAACCCGCCGTCTTTGATATATCTACACATAGAGGTATCAACTGTAATATCAGATAACTATTTATCGGAAATTCTCCAATTGTTTTACGCGATAAAAAGATTACGCTTTTAATAACAACAAAACAGTGTTGATAACATTGAAATACTTGCACGTACCTATGAATCTCACGTTTAGACTTGACTTATTAGATTACACATGGACTGAATTAAAAAAAGAAACTAAATAAACAACAATGAATAATAGGAAAATATGTAGGATTAATGTATCAAATACACCAATCACACACTAGCCCGAGATTAATTATCAAACGGTTCTACTAATAAAAGTGTTGCTTTAGATCATAGACTAATGTAAGGTTCTGTCTATGAAATACAATTGGATCAAAACGAAACGTGGGATAGGAACCACCAATGACATAAATAAGTACGACAGTGAGAGAAAAGTTGTAAATAAATAAATACATAAATTGTTCCATTGTCGACGATTGATCCAGGGACCATTTTGCCCATGTATCAGGCTCCCTCTTTCTGTCCAACTGATGGCCACAAGGAAGACGTTGTTGGTTACTAGATAGTCTTTGATTATTTTTTCTGTGGACGTTTTACGACAGAATTTCTTCGAATGTCATTAATTAAATATCAGAAGTCATGGAGCCTAAAAACCATTGAAATATGGCAATAAGAGACATTAATTCGACGTTACAATACATATTTCTAGAAAAGGTACCCGGCGGTCTATTGTGATGTGAACAGAGGGTTTTAAATAACTATGCTATCACAGATAGATGGTAAGTTGATGTCAACATATTGATACCGTAGAAACGCTGTACAAAGTACGACCCGGTTGACAAAGCACAAGACCTCTCAAACTTCAGATTTTTGGGTTGCTTGTTTTATAGTTGTTAGTTACATGTAGAAAGGCATGCTAGAGAACAATCTTGCTAGTTCACATGACACGAGTTATGTCCCTTGGTTCCAGTACATACTTCGACCTTAGGTTCGTGTATCTCTCTACGTTCTGCCACACACGCATTAAATACAAGAGACAAAAGAATTTTTTTTTTAAATTGACTTTAAGGTGTATATAGGAACTTAACTACTATTAGTTTGTAATAATTAATATATAACTGGCAGTATAAAAAAAAACTAAATAAAACACACACGTTTCAACTTAACGATAACAGCACCAACAGGACAAAACATAAGGGACATCGTTGGTTAAGTATAAGATTAAAACAAATAGGTATCTAGTTGGGAGGGATGGCACACGAAATCAATTAGCGAGGTAGTTTATGCTCGTTAGACAGGAACGGCAAACAATCTACAAAAAGAAACTTCTGGAAAAAGACAAGAGTGGGGTCTATTAGGTAAAATTAAGAGAACCTTTAAAACTGATAATACAAATTTTGACAATCTGCCACCTAATTATCTCTCTTTTTTTCTACATCATCCAATTAATAAAGATAACAACATGCGCTTACTATGTGATCGGAAAATTCCGATTTTTAATTCAGTCCTAACATAACCTTGTTTGTTAAAACAGCAACAAAACCACTGATAAGATAAAAACGCATATCATAAAAGTGATAGTAACGTTTGGACTTTGCTCTTTACATAACTTGACGATTACCTATAGCAGGGGTTCCCATCCCTGTTCCCGCGGGCGCCATGGCGCCCGCTGAACGATTCGGATGTGCCCGCCTTTCACTATTCGACAGAGACAGAATGTTTTTCATAAACATTATTTTAAAATATGATTTATTTTTATTCATTTGTTACAGTTTTAATTTTTTTTTACTGCCTACGCAGAAAACCCGAAGTGAACGAATGGAACACGCGCCACGAACTGATCCGATAAGCGCCGAAAGCGCCAAATCACAACGCACATAACTCTGATTGCTTCGGAGATCATCGGCTCACTTCGGGTTTTCCGCGTGTACATGGAGTGATGTGCAAAAAGCATCCCCACTGTTAGGTCAGAATTCCACAAACACCTATTCACTAGATAATTACAGGGTACACAGTAGGGATGGACAGTAGGTGACACGTTCAAAGGAGACTGACCGCTCTGACAGGACAATAGTAGTCTTTATACTGACCAGTAGCCAGGGTTGTTAGCGCCAGGGGGGATAATTTGTTAGGTCACATGTTCTGAGCTCATTGTCCCGTGGGAACAGCTAGGGGGTTAAGACAGGGGTATAAATACAGGCAGGTTAGTTAGTCTCTCTCTCTCTCTCGCACAAGCGCTCCCGACGTTAGCGGTTAGGGGAAGCCTCGCTCAGCAGAACAGGCATTCAGCGAATTATTAAACAGCACAAACTAAGAAGGTCTCCTATTCCGTTGATTACTTCACTGTAGCTGACTCGGGTAGAACAATTAAATACCCCTAGACAACGACGGCCTTATTGGCTAGTGCTCGAGCCAGTGTCAGCAACGTATTCGGCCGGCGACTAAGCAACCGGACGACAACATCGTAGTCCGGTCTGCAACACCCACCTGGAACTGCGTTGTTGACATTGTGATTGCTGCCCTGTTCGGGATTATCGTCATACGCCCCTAATTATGAAGCTCTGGCCAATGAAATGCAATGCTAAAGATCACATTGACTTTATTATATTTTTTATTTAAATGTTTTCTTTGTATGTATGTGTTTTGTTTACTTTCTTAACGTTTTGTAAATACATTTCTCTGTGTGTATGCAATTTGAAAAAAAATGCCAAATAATTTTATTATTTTGAAACATTTTTGTTTATTTTTTAATACATTATGACTATAAGAAAATAAGAAAATAAATTATGGGAAAATGACAAGTTATGAGTGGTTTTTTCCTGGAGTTTATGACAGAAGTGCATAGAGGAACCTGCCACGTAATAGCATAATCTTCTTTGTGCTTATTGTAAATGCCTAAGAAATATTTACAGCCCACATAAATGTTTGAACCTATGCAACGTTTAATTACTCTTGTGTAAATATTTAATTGGCGTGCATACTATTGAAAAAAACCTATTAAGCTCTACAAGAAACAATGTTTAAAAGACATACATTAAAATTAATAGGCCTATACATTAGTTGAGAAACAAAAGCACACATTTAAACGTAGCGGATAAAGCATCGCAGCATTAAGTCATTTCGGGAATTCCCGATCTTGCGTGGCGATTGTGACCTATTTTTATTTAAAAGAGATCATTCTTTGTTTTATAAGTGTAACTTATTCACCAAAGACAAAGCGACGAATAATTTGTAATGGAGGCGAGCGAGTTGACGAGATTCCTTCCATAATGTTGTTGATATGGAATAAAAACGTGCTTTTTAGATTTAGACCGTAAAAAAAAATAAAAAATAAAAACTTAAGCCTAAAATTAATTTAGAAATTTTATATTTTTAGAATAAATGCTATAAAAGTTGCAAATCCAGAGAACTTGAAAATAATTTGTTGAGTTTAAGGCTACATTTCTATTTATTTTCATCAAGCCTAAGTTATAACCGGATGTTTCACTTTCGTAAGACAAATATTGATTGGCTGTACAGTAACTTAGTGATCGATAACTATTTGTTTACAAAACTTTGCAGATCAAGTTTTTAAATAACAATGCAAATTTAAAACCCCATGACCTAGTTTTCTATTTTTAGCTTACAATGTGTACAAAAAAATCAATGGCGGTCTATCCAATAGCAGGATGCCATTGTTTATGTCGCCATTACACGTGAAAACCAAATTGTTTTTGCTTTTTTTTAAATTTTTATTTAGTTACCGAAAATATTATAAACATCAAATACATCCAATCGTTAGTAAAGTCCGAAAAAAACAAGACAGGCAGGATTTTATAACCATATTAATTGTAACTACGCTGTGCATGATTTTTAAATGAATTTATACACCTCTCAAATACCTTTGAGACTTTTCTCGCTGGTGTCCATTGATTTTAATTGGTTTTCTTAATTTTCCTAATGTGTTTACCTGCTTGCTTAAAATATATTCATCACAGTAAGAAGACAATAGAAAACAACTGGAGGTAAAAATAGTTCATTGTCAGTGGCGTAGGCAGGGGGGGGGGGGGTTAGGGGGCGTCATAACCCCCCCCCCCATAGACCCCTCGGTATATATATAAAAAGTATGAGGCGGGTGCAAATCGAAAGTTTGAGGGGGGGGTGCAAATCGAAAGTTTGACGGGGGGGGGGGGTGCAAATCGAAAGTTTGACGGGGGGGGGGGGGTGCAAATCGAAAGTTTAAGGGGGGGGGTGCAAATCGAAAGTTTGTCCCCGGGTAAAAATTGGAACCCCCCCCCCCTTGAGACGATCCTGGCTACGCCACTGTTCATTGTGTATTTTCTTGATCTAGGCCTAAATATAGGCGTACATATACACCACCCATATATATATATATATATATATATATATATATATATATATATATATATATATATATATATATATATATATATATATATATATATATATATATATATATATATATATATATATATATATATATATATATATATATATACATACATATATTTAAATATGTGAATGTCTGAGTAATTTTTTGAAGAACATATACCCTGCACTGATCATTTTAGTAAGTATGTTTGGATATTTTAAAAGACACTTGAGTTGTGTGTGATTAGTTCAAGACTTATCAGCAAAATGCCTAAGAGGATTTGCGACAATTACAAACGTTTCTTTAACTGATCTGACAAAAGTCTATAAATGTTAAGAAAATGCATCCTACTTTCATGAGACACACACGAAACTTGCGTATTCGAATATTAAATATTTCTTTATTTACATGAGGTTCAAATTGAAAATCTAACACGGGGATCGCTCGAATAAAGGACTGAAAATGCAACTGTGGTTCCTAATGCCATATTTTGGCACAATGTGATAACATTTTAATGCTCAAAATTGGATATGAACATGCGAACAAGTTATAGAACTACACTGGTCAAGGAAGACACACTCTTACTCTCCCACACACGCAATCATACACACACAAGATAATAAAACTTTGTTTATCCTACTCAGGAATGTGTAAAACGTTTGGGTCGTTTTCACGATCAAAACACTACCCCCGTATAAATGTAATTAAATATTAAAATGCATACATTCTCCATACCCAGAAAACATACATACGCCTATGCCTAGCTTCAACTTATGATAACTTATGAAAGTGATTGTATATATTTAATTTGCCTAATTAATCAGACATTAACCTCTTCATTTTCTTTTTCTGTTTGAGATGCACCATAATACTTCAGATCGCCAGAAATATTTTTTTACATATTATTATAGTCGCTTCACTACTTTAAAATAATACTCTGAATGCTATGATAAAAGTATATCAGATTGCATTGTAAAGCTCTCAAAATTTTTTAATTTAAATAATATCTTAAAGAATACGAAGGACGAAAGTTTTTACATTTAACTGACTTTCTGCAGGATTGTATTTATTAATCTACTCGGTACTTCACAATATTCAATACGTGTATCGTACATATTTCAACTATCTTTTAGACCTATTACTTGTGTATGGGAAATTAAGAAAGCATTGGTAAAATAACATGTGGTCTATTTGTGTCACATTTGTTGAAGTAAAGATAATACGGTGTAGCCTAGCGGGGAAATCAGACAACAGGGAAAAATTATAAGTTATAAATAGAATTTCGTTGTAACACAATGGACGGCCATTTTGAAAACATTTTTATTCGCAGATGATGATGAAGGTAGAGTTTAAGTTTGTTGATGAATTACTTTATAATACTTTATAATATAGGTCTAGCCTTATAGCTGTATCATTTAGGCTATGCGCATCAATTGCGATCAACTGAAACCTAATAACAAATAAATAATAGTGTTTGACTAAGTGGTTGATTTACAGTGAGTTTGTTAAGATTAAGAGTTAAGAATAGTAAACACTAGTTAGTTAGTGTAAACATAATTTCGTATAATCTATATTCTAAATTTAACACACTTACTCTTATATAACAAGCCGGTTGTTTTTACAAACAATTTAGAAACTGTCCGTAAAATGTTCTTGTCCTTCAATTCATTTGGCTTTATTCTTTTACTTCTAATTTTATAAAAATTATTAATTATTATAAAACTACAAGTAAAAGAATAATTAATTAATAGATCTAGAGACGATGAATAAATGGCAAGAGTTTGATGAACATTGTTGCATATTTTCATTTAATTATCGTACATGCTTTTGATGTATAGATACAATTGTAAATGTAGCAAATACAATTTTCTCCAACACACTAGAAACAACGATATAAAAGTTATAACGCTAGAGGAAACAAAACAAACTTTACAGTCAAGTTATTGATTCGTAGTGTAAGTTCAGGGTTGTGTTGCTCTAAAGCATTCAGCTCCCGTCCCATAGAGTGTCAAAGATGGTCGGATGAGGTAGAAGAATAGTACAATACTTCACCACCCGTCCTCTCCCCATCATCTGTCCTTAGTGGGGGAGTTTGTTGTTTTGTAGTGTATAATTATACTTCATTCAGCAGCTTATAAGTGACCATAGAAGGGGTAGGACTTGACAAAATTATGTGGTCAAGACTGAATTTGTAACAGACTGACTGATAGCGAAGTCTATGATTTTAATGTAAAAGTTTCAGTGTGAGAAGGATAAGTTCTTCAATGACGTGACGACCTAATATGTAGGCACCTATTACGCCGTTGAGGACTGTCGTGTTTCCGCTGTTTGAAAGGACACGCACTAAACATTCTTTAAAAAGGAGTTGGGAATGTTAAAAAATGGTACTTATTTTTTTTTAATATTTTTTTTATGGAATGGGAGATTTTTGATTAGGGGGCACCGGACGAAGTCTAAAATGAAATATCATAGCTGTTATACTGCTTTAATGTATTACATTCTATACAAAGATGTTTTATTTTCTCTGACATTGGTGCATTCTTTTAATGAAAGAATATATTTTTTTCTATACAAATTCTACTTTGTTTGGGGAGGATGGGGGCGGTAGACATGCCTTAGGTGGAGCTTTACAACACCCCCACACCTTTTCCCCAGAAGAGGTGCTTGAAAAAACAGTGTTCTTTATAATAATAAATAATGTAAAGCATTACCGTAGCTTCTGTTTCTAGTTTTGAGCAATAATGATCTATGTAGCAGAAGGAATGATACAATATTAAATAATAATGTACGTATTTTAAATAGTTAAAACAAAACCTTCCAGAAACAACTTTTGTACCCATAGACGACTACAATTATACTTATGGTTAATTCAATAATTAATAGTAGACATCCTGGTAATGTAAAATTTGATTCCACACATAATTGTCAGTAGATTTAAAATTTGACAATTAAAGCGCGTAGTATTGATTGATGCTCAAAAAAATCGAGTTCTAGCATAATCAATGTTAGTATTAGACTATGCAAAAAAAATAATAATAATTAATATTTTGTAGATTGTTTTTATTTAGCAAATTAACTTAATTTCAATCGAAATTTAAGTAGTTATAACTTGATAAATAGTGGTTGTATCTTTTAGTCGTTTGTGATTTTTAAAATATTTAGATCTAGATCTAGAAATTTCTAGATCTATTCTAGATCTAGATCAAGAGTCTATTCATCACTTACCTTAAAATTAAAACGTTTATGTTTATAAACATACACTGCTTTAGAATTTAGAAGCTACATTAATTAAGTTATTAACTGTAACTCATCTAATTCAACACAGAATAAGCTTCTCTTAAATGTGCTAACAATGTAGAGTGGGGTAAAAGATGAGTGGTTGAAATTAATATAGGGCCTACATGATTCGGTCAAAAATTAGATAATACTAATAGTGCAAAAAATATAAACATTAAACAGAATGAAGTAACTAAATGTCTTAAAGTATTCAGTATGAAGTGTAATTCCAACGTTTGGTGCTAGTGCGTCATTTTACATGGTAGTATCTTAGCCAGATACACACATTTATAAGTGTGCAAGAAGACATATATGGGATTTATAGGGGGTGTATTTTCAATTTCGATGTAAATTATTTGTGTTTCAATAATTAACTCTACTGGTGGGCTCTACTGTAGTAAATCTACAAAAAATATGAAGGACAAATTGATTCTCTTTCCAAAGTTATTCTTCATACATTTTATTTCATCCTATGAATTAATTTGAAATACTAACAATTTTTATGTGACGACTATTATTGCAAGAACATTCTCTATCCCATTTCTTATGTTTATAAGATTTCAAAGTAACATTTTAAAAACTGATTTTTATTAAACTCATTAAAGATCCAGGTTAATTAGGTAACTTATTTGCTGTTATGACTACCAAACAAGATTATTCTGATAAATAATTTTATTTTAAAATGTGTTTTAACAGTATCTGAACATTTGGGCATGCTTAGTGGCGGAACTAGAATATATCATTCTTTATTAGGTATTTTTTTCAAATAAAAATTAGAAGAAGTAATTGCTTTTTAATTTGTTTAGTGCAGATCTATAAAAAGTTTCTTAAGAACGCACATATTTGACTATTTAAAAAAGGGAAATAAGTCATGGAAATGGTTTGAACGTTTGCCCATCTTTCACACTACAATTCATGTAGCTCATATGTCGTTTTTTTTCCTCTATGAAACAGCACGTGTTAGCTACAGTAGAACATCCCTACTGTAGTAGATCTGTTTGATTTTTTTTACAAGAAAATTATTTTTTAGCTATAAAAAATTGATTATGGCGGCTGTGGGCCCTAAACGGCCTGGCATGGGAATATGTCGAACTAATTAGATTATGCAATTTATCCACAGAAGTTGATGAGAAGTTACATCGTTTATATAAATCAAGCTTGTTTAACTAAGTTACTGTTTCTGCAACCTTAGTGCAAATACATTAGCTGTTATTTCGAATGTTTAATACAACACTTAATATAGCTATTAAATATAGTGGTGGAAAATTAACTGCAAACAAGCTGATAGGGATATTAAGACTATATGATTTACAAAATCTCTACAATTAAGCTCGAATCTTGATTAGCTAAGAATAAACAAAAATATATTTTTGTAGGATCACATTTCAGACTATTGTGTACATAAATTATCTTTTAGAAAATAAACATTGATCAACATTGTTTCCAGCAAAATAAATACTTTTGTTTTCAAGGTTTAGTTGAAAGTTGTGAGTGGCAGGCTAGTTGATATCCCAACATTTGTATCATAGTCAATCAGGTAATTTTTAGCGCAATTTCTATTCTGGAGAATTGCGTTTATTAGCCCGTCATTTCTGGATGGATGGATGGATGAATGGATGAATGTGTGTCCGCAGCTTTAAGTCGTATCTCCTCCTCAACGAAGCAATATCGATGACTAGTTCTAAAAGCAATTATGTTAAGCAAGTTACGAGGATGAGCATAGGCCATAAAAATTCCTAGTTTCTTTCATGGATTTCCAGGAAAAGCCAAAAAACCTTGAAAAAATGCAGTTTTTTGCCCATATCTCGGCAACCAGACCACTTAGCGACTTGAAACTTGTACCAATCGATTCCTGTCATAATTTAGAACAATATTGCCGAAGAAAGTATTCGAAAATATCCTTTCGTTCGGTCACAAAAATTTTTTTGAATTAATTAAAATTTGGACCGAATTAGTAGGCATTTTTTCCAACCACACCACACGCGTCATCACGTTCAATAGCTGCGCCATCAAGTTCAATGGCTGCGTCATCACGTTCAGTAGCTAGGCGCGAAATGGTTTTTAGTCATGTAACTCTATTGTAAATAAAACATGTAAAATACTGAAAAAAAAATTAATAAAAAACGTTTTAATAACTAACCAATGGTTTTACTAACCCTGCTCTTGATTTACGCTACAACAGAGCTATTTTTAGATAACATAAGGAAATTGCGCTTAAATGTCACTAGACTTTTTAATTAACTTGTTTTCAGTTAGCTGCATTTTTAAGGTCTTATTTTCAAATTAACTCCCTTCTTAATTAAGAAAAGAAAAAGTAGAAAGTCACAAATAATTTATTAATAAGTCTATCAGAAGTTAATATCATATAAATAATAAGCTGATAGGTGATATCTTTATAGCCACAAAATTATTAAGAGTGTTCTTATTTGTTGTATAAATTGAAGAGTCAGGCGCTAAAAGTACTTAAGTCACATTTTTGTGAAAATCAAACCAAACATTAATCGTTATTCCTCTAGTTTAACTTTAGCTTATAAACAAATAGTAATACTAAAGAATTTATTTAAGTTGCTCCTCCAAACAAATAAATAATATAAAAACGTAATGTTGTATAGTAAATTTTAATCTTTAAACTCATTTATCTCAAAATGTTACTACTTGTTTCTTAAACTGCAGAAACTGGTATATTTGTTATAAATTATATGTTTTAAATTCTACATTTGTGAAATATTAATCGCCATATATTGATTTATATTAATTAACTATATTCATTTACAGCAACACAAACAATGGAAACCCCTAAGAAAGTGAGAGAAAGAAAATCGGAGCCACCAAGTGCGACTCCAGGTAGGGTCAGATAAACGTTAAATCATTCATTTAACCAAATCTTTAAGTAACTTACCTAAACTAAAAATTGTTACGGAATTTTTAACATTCATATTCTTTTAAAATATTTTCCTTTATAACCTACTTTTGTTAACTATACGTGTAGAATAAATGCTAAATACTCGATAAATTCTATTAATATGAAATTTCTTATACACCTGACTTTGAAAATGGAGAGGGTACAGTATTATTAATGCCACATTTCTTGTCACTTTTATTATAATGTAATGTATGTACTATTTTCTTATTATTTTACTTTAGATGTGCCATATTGTGAGAGTCCAAGTAAAGTTATCAAAAGTGACCAAACAGGTGTCTTTATTCCAGGTGAGATGTGACAAAAATAAGTAAACTCTATTCTAAAAATACAAACCTGTGCTAGTGAAAACAGATAAATGAGTTTATTGCAGTAAATTTATAGTTGATGAAATGAAGGACATGGTAAACGTTTAATTTATATCTATACAGACTTGCTAAATTAAGTGTTTGTGTAAACATAGTATAGCTAATCAAAATTATACTAATAATAGGTGAATGTATATTAGTTTCTAGCTGCTTTTAGACTGTTTATAATAATTTGTTTCACTTGACTCGCTAGGCAATCATGAAGCTGAGATGTGCTATGGAGGAGAAGCTGATCTACACAAACATGTTACTGACTGTACGAAGAATCCAGGTCACAAAGGTTTTACACCTCTTAAAGATTTCAACATAAAATATCTCCCATCACGTTTTCACGATGACCTCGTGTCTGAAATAATTAAAACATTGGCAGCCCTAACTGTCCAGGTAAAGACTAAATTCACAAGTCTAGAGAGACCAGAGTTTTACCCAGGCACTCAATTTCCATATCCATGTTATAAGGACAGAGGAAGTCGCGTGATGAGGTTAGGGACGGGCAGGGTGAGGTGTTTGTATAAATCTACAGAGAGTGACGGAACTTGTCGTTGTGCCAAATGTCAAGTCTCTGCCACACCCAGCAAAGTGTGGTGGGTGGTTTGTGTGTTGACAGCCACACATGTGGTGTTTGATGACAGTGAGGCGAGACAGACCATGTGTGTTTTAGGTTATGATGACAATAAAAGTCCAGGGGTCAGTCTTGATGGCTGGGAGGTGGGGGGTAAGGCACGCATTAAGAGAGACTGGTGTTGGTTGAGACATTCGACATGTGACTTAAAGTTGGTTGATGAACTGGACAAGATGATTCGGCGCTTTGATGAGCTTTGTTGGGAAGTATGGAAGACATACAGGATGTTTGATGATGTGGACAAGTTGACCGTTATAGTATCACATCCTCATGGTTGTCCTAAACAGGTCTCTGTAGGACAATGGACACACAAACTCGAGAGGGATGTCACCAGGACTAGGTACTGGTACACAACATGTACATGTCCAGGCACCAGTGGAGCGCCGGTCTACAGGCTAGGATATGACAGGGTTTGGTGTGATCGTCCTCATAGTGGAGCTAACTCTGAAGGGAATTATAGTGGGGAGTATGTTACTACTCCAAACTGATTTTTTTAATCAGTCACACAACAATAGCTTTGGTTTTTCGGCATAGTACTAATAATTCTAAAAACGTGGATACCAATTTTAAGTCCGTAGGACAATTAGAAAAAAAGGTTATGCGCTTAAGAAACATTTTTTTTTACCTTTTCCGACCTCATGAGGACTTTAGCACCGATTGTCACAAAGACTATAAAAGCTGTAAGCTTTCCCTTACTTAATTCTAATAATAGAAAAGAAAAATTGAAGTCCTAATTCTTTTCAAACAAGCATAACAAATTAAACATAAATTTTGTGTCTTAAAAATTGTACTACACCATTTTTAACATAAATTTGAGAGGACGGCAAAAAAACAACACAAAAATCACCAACTTCTACAAAACATTCTAACATTCTTCTGATGCATGCACAATAATGGAACTAGCAAAAAAGCATTTGTTTCTGTACAGTTTGCTATTTTTTAAAATGCAGTATGACGTAAAAGCTTGTTATTAAAACGTTTTTTATGAATTTCTGTTAGTACTTTACATGTTTTAATTACACTAGAGTTGCATGACTAAAAACCATTGCGCACCTTTTGAACATGATGACGCGTGTCTTAAAGCGCGGAACAGTTTGATGAGAAAGTCTACTAATTTGGAACAAATTTTAATTAAGTCATAAAAAATTAATCAGGCTAACTATTAAGTCAAACTTGTAATGTCATGTTGCATTGTTTTCATGTCTTGACCCAACTAAGTACCAACTAAGAACCGTATCTGTCCATTTGATGTGCCTGCAATTTCGCTCTGGCGTTTCGATTTAGATAGATTGATGACTGTCGACAGACTGACTAGGAAGTGAGTTAAATAAAAGCTTGTAAAAACAGCGGAAATTTTCCCGTCATTAAACTGTGTTAAGACTTGCATGTCTTGTAAACATTTTATTACCTTTAAGTGACTAAAACAAATGTTTGGATTGTTTTAAACCGTTTAACCGTTTTAATTTGTATCTACCACGTATTTTATGCGTTTTTCATTTATAATGTGGTAAATATTTATTTTGTCTGTAAAAATTGTTGTTTTATTCTCACACTGAATTGTAGCTTTACATATTACATTTCTTACTCTTCTTATTTGTTTACAAAATTATTACATATTAGAAAATAAATGCTTAAGATAAAACTACTTTGTTGAATTGTTACCTTCATTTTATGTACTAATGTGAATGTTGCCTGATTTTAAAATGTGCACATTGTTGTCAAACAACTTTTGTTTCTGATGTCAATATTTCTATTAGGCTGTCTAGGGCAGGGGTCGGCAACCCGCGGCTCGCGAGCAGCATGTGGCTCTTTTGATGTCAAGGTGTGTCTCTCCAGTTCCATGCACATATATAATATTAATAGTTATATTATTTCATTTTCTAAACTCATAAAAATATTATACTGTAAAGAAAAGAGAACAGCTTTATCTTAAAGTGGGATTAGTTGAGTTAGAGAGTACACGTACAGCTGACAGCCAAGCCCCACAGTCGTGCTTTAGCCAGCCACGTGGGTCTATGCTTGCCACTGCCAAAGTGCCCACTTTTTTCGAATATCGTTAAATGGGGACTGTTATTTTATCTAGAGTGCATTCTTCTACCTGTCCGTATGCATTAATTTGACCTGAGTAATGTAGTATTTTAATTATTAGTTTCCTACCATTGAGCCAGGTACTGGAGGTGGAAGATAAGCCCAGTGAGATGCACGGTAATCAAAAGATACCCAAACGAGGTAGTCGGAGTTTTCCGTCTTGGGTTAGTGGTATCCGTAAAGAAAAAGAGAAAAACAAGTTATTAGCTTCTAAAGTGGATTAATATTATTATTGGTTTACTATTTTTATCATAGCGCTTTTTGTGCGAAACATTTGTATGTTTTTATATGAATCAATATCAGTTCATATTTAACGCTATTTATTTCAAATCATAAATCAAATTTATTTACCACATCCTTATCAAATATCCCAAAATTGAAAAAAATAATGTTAGTGGCTCTTTAAAAACTTGGACATTTTGTAAATTGTAACTTTTGTTGCTAATGATTTATTTAGATTTGTTTTTTTCTTTCTTATAACTTTGCAAAATGATTAATATGTTCCTTGAAGTCCATTTGAGCTGCTTTTGTATGTTCGATACTTAGGATGGCCAAGTTATTGACCTAAAGGGCATATCTACAGCTTGTTTCATAACATCATAATAATGGAGAGACTCGGGGCGCCTATTTGTATACTACTGCCAAGGCGGCGGAAGGACACCCCTTTATTTTCTTTAGCCATTGATAATAGTAGCCTTCCGTATCCCTAGGGCATGGCGCTTATTAAAACAATTGTGTGTGCCGTAGTGCTCACGGGGGGGGGGGGGGGGGGGCGGGGCGCTGGCTGATGCACCTGTGCAGTTTGATAGTTGAATTCAGCAGTAACCCTGAATTCAGAAATTAAATGACACCAGGTGCTAAGAAACTCTAGGTGGCAAACTGAACCGCCTTACTGTCAAGGAGCCGCTCTTCGAACGAAATTTAAAAAAAAAAAATTAATGACAGAAAACTCTACAGGAGTCAGAGATTTGTTTCTGGCTTCTCTTCGAGGGTGAGGCACTGCACCTTTTGTGTGGGGTTGTGGTAGGAAATTTCACGGTCAGTAGAGGTTTGTCTGAATTATTCTAATGACTTCCCAATGTTTCTTGGCGATTGGATCGTTTTTGTATTAATGCATAATGGACAATGAGGCAGACAAACAAAATTCTTTAAGTAGCGGCATATTGATTACAGATAAATTAGATCAACAATCAAATTCTATTTTAAGGTTAAAACTGACAGAAATACATTGACCAAATTTCCACGTAGTTTATTGTGAAAACACAGTCCACGACTGATAACCAAAAAAATGGCTCAATTGTAATCATGGACGGATGGAATTTCGGAGAGTACAGGGAGTTGAGAAGGGAGGGGTAGTGCAGGTTTGTGGCGGTGAGGTAGAGAATTTTTAGAGATGCGTTTAAATTTGCGGGTGCCGGTTGTCAATCTAACAAAATAGTCTAATTTTTTTAACGGCTCGCCCAACAATGCATATAGTGTTATTAATACCGATGGCCCTGTACAACCCATTCACAAAAGGTTTGTGGGCCTTTTTGGAACTTTGTGATTTATTCTACAGTAGAAAAGAAACTGGATTTCCATTTTCTTTTTAAAATTATTTTTATAATACAAATATTAAAATTCCAATGTATAAGTTTTTAAAAATTTAAAGAGGGAAAAGGGCCCTTGCTTACGCTAAGTTTACGGTAGCTACGCCACTGCAAATTTGTAGTTCTGTATCAACTTTCCAGAGATTTCTGATACCCGGACGTGGAACTTATTCTATTTTCAATTTTCAAAAGCATATAACTTGAGTACTGTTTAGGGTAGATAAATGAAATTTCACATGTAAGTAAAAGATCTAATTATCTACCTTATATCAAATGTTGAGTAACTTTCGTTGACCTTATTCTTCGAGTAGGGGCTAAGCCCCACCCACCTTAAAAGAAATGACGTCATCGATACTCTATAATAAAAACACCGACATTACCGCCTACTTCATGTGTCTAAGCTTGAAAGTGGTTTGCTTGCAGGGTTTCTTTCATGCATCTGGACCTAAAATCCCCCCATTCCCAAACGAAAGGTTATTTACATAGCAAATATAAAGTTGGTGAAAGTATTTACAAGAAATAAAAATAAAGAAAATGTTTACACAAGTGTCAGTCTATCAGAGCGACAAACTCCGATCTCACTTAACATTTCTATTGGAGTAGGACAACACAAGATGTAGATCTTAACGGTTGTGTCTGGTATCAGTTACGTTTATTAGAACTTCACTTCATTGAAATTAATCATTACTAGACATGTATTTATCATTATATAGGATACATGTCGGTCTTGTCGTTACATTGAATTGGGAATGTTTTAAAACCACCGAGAGCATGACGGTAATAATAACTTTTTTCTAATTCTAATTAGTCTATAAAAATGAAATTAACAGCAAAACAAATACGTTTTATCTTTGGCTTTATTTTCTAGTATGTAATAATTTTTTAAAGAAATAAAAATAGCAAGAAATGTAATATCATAGTAATATGTAAAGTTACAATTCAAGGTAAGATTAAAACAACAATGTTGCGGACATTTGTTATACACAAAATATTTACAACATTAAACATGTTAAGTGCGTAAAATACATTATGGTAGATGCAAATTACAACGGTTAAACGGTTTGAATCAATCAAAACAATTGTTTTAACCATTTACATATTATAAAATGTTTACAACACATGCATGTCTTTACACAAACAGTTTAATGACGGGAAAAGTTCCGTCATTTTGTTTGTTTACATTGTGTAGATAAGGGGAGAGAACTAACAGTTACACCAGAAGATGTGCTCCCCACTATAATTTCCTTCACCGTTTGATCCACTGTGGGAATGTTGATACAACACCCTGTCATCTTCCAGCCTGTAGACAGGCGCTCCACTGGAGCCTGGACATGTACATGTTGTGTACCAGTACTTGGTCCAGGTCCAGCCAATATCAACATGATCATTATCATCATCATCATTATCATAATCATCGTCATTCCTCTCACGTGTGTATGTCCACTGTCCTACAGAGACCTGTTTAGGACAGCCATGAGGATGTGACACTATAACGGTCAACCTGTCGTCATCAACCAATCTCATGTATTTGACACTTACTTCCCTACATAGATCATCAAAGCGCTTACACATCTTGTAAAGTTCATCAACCAAATCTAACTTATCTAAGTCACATTTCACATATTTCAAGTTACACATGTCTTTCTCAATGTCTTCCCACTCCATCTCCCAGCCATCAAGACTGACCACTGGACTTTTATTGTCATCAAAACCTAAAACACACTTGGTCTGTCTCGCCTCACTGTCATCAAACACCACGTGTGTGGCTGTCAACACACGAACCTCCCCCCACACTTTGCTGGGTGTGTTAGAGACTTGACTGTTTGCACAATAACAAGTTTTTCCGTCACTCTCTGTGTTTTTGTACACACCATACACCCTCCCCGTCCCTAACCTTATCATGTGGCTTCCTCTGTCATTATAACATGGGTATGGAACTTGAGTGCCTGGGTAAAACTCTGGTCTCTCTAGACTGGTGAATTTTGTCTTTACCTGGACAGTTAGGGCTGCCAATGTTTTGATTGTCTCAAACATGAGGTCATTGTCATTGTAACTAGAGGGTAGACAATTAATATAGAAATCCTTTAGAGGTATAAAATCCTTGTGACTTGGATTCTTTGAACAGCCATTAATATTTTCTTGTCTAGCAGCTTCTCCTCGATAGCACATCTCAGCTTCATGATTGTCTACAGGTGTGATGTATGCATTATAATAGTAAAATGCAACTGCATTTAATTTAATTTCTACAATAAATATCTTGACATATAGATAGGTGTTTTGTATTATTATTTATTTATTTATTTATTTATTTATTTATTTATTTATTTATTTATTTATTTATTTATTTATTTATTTATTTATTTATTTATTTATTTATTTATTTATTTATTTATTTATTTATTTATTTATTTATTTATTTATTTATTTATTTATTTATTTATTTATTTATTTATTTATTTATTTATTTATTTATTTATTTATTTATTTATTTATTTATTTATTTATTTATTTATTTATTTATTTATTTATTTATTTATTTATTTATTTATTTATTTATTTATTTATTTATTTATTTATTTATTTATTTATTTATTTATTTATTTATTTATTTATTTATTTATTTATTTATTTATTTATTTATTTATTTATTTATTTATTTATTTATTTATTTATTTATTTATTTATTTATTTATTTATTTATTTATTTATTTATTTATTTATTTATTTATTTATTTATTTATTTATTTATTTATTTATTTATTTATTTATTTATTTATTTATTTATTTATTTATTTATTTATTTATTTATTTATTTATTTATTTATTTATTTATTTATTTATTTATTTATTTATTTATTTATTTATTTATTTATTTATTTATTTATTTATTTATTTATTTATTTATTTATTTATTTATTTATT